CCACCGCGCCCACCGTGAGTGCCGCCGCTGACGCCACATTCACTCGTGGGTGACGTCACATCCTGCCGTGACACGTGACCGGTCGCTGGCAGGGGTACACGCCTCTGCATCTGGCCTGTGTGAGCGGCCAGCGCGAGGTTGCTGCAGAGCTGCTCAGCCGGCGGCTGGACCAGGTGACGGCCGCTGACCAGCGCGGCCGCACTGCTCTCCACCTGGCCGCCCTGCACGGCCACGCGGCGCTGGCTGCGCTGCTCCTGGACCAGGGAGCCCATCCGACAGCCCCAGACAAGGTCAGGCGCCCGTCAGACGAGCTCCAGTGTCAGGCAGAGGTACGCACAGTGTGGCTGGGTAACCGAGTGGGAACTTGCCCGCGCTCTTGTCTGAAATCGACGGCATCCCCAGCCGCAGCGGACAATCGCCTGGAGCCATTTGCGAAGTGTCGGCGTGGTTCCCATGGATTGTTCGAGCGCGCGAAGTGAAGTTCCGTGCCGTTCGATTTTCTCTTTAAGCGTCCGGTGGCCGTGGCTCCGGCACGACCATCCCTTTCAGGATAGCCTGACGGCGCTGCACCACGCTAGCCAGGGCGGCCATCTACCGATGGTCCAGCTGTTGGTGGAGCGAGGTGCCACCTCTGACTGGGACAACGACGACGACACTGACGCCGTCATCAACCTCGCGGCGGCGGCAAAACACGCTAACGTCGTCCAGTACTTGATGCGCCAGGGATTTATCAAGCACGCGCTGTTATCTGACTCCAAGGCAAGCATGCATGGCTTGTAGGTACCCGCATTTATCGGCGGGTAAAAAAGCGCGCACATCAGCAGAATGTGCCTTGTCTCGTTTGTTTGTTTGTTTTTTTAATTCAACCCTGTCAATTTGATTGGATGGGTTTATGGGACCAGCACCCTCGATAAGTTGTGCTTGTTTCACGAGCCCTGCCTTCACTATTCGATTGCAAAATTCCAGTTCAACGGTAGAGTTTTGTGCCGAAAGTTTCACATGCCACGATGGTTGGCACGGTTCAACCCGCCCTCTCACCGTATCTGATTTTGAGCAGTCGCTGCCACCGATCTCAGGCCGCCCCGGCCAGGGTCCAATAGTGCGCGCCGAAGCGGCTCCAACCCCCACCCGCACCCCCACCCAACCGCGGCTCGGACGGGGGGCACGTGCTCTAACCGGCTGAGCTACCGACACCGGCAGACGATTCACAAGCCACTCACGTTGATAGGCGACCTAGTTCAGACATTAGCCGAGGGCTGACGGCCTCTGGTTTGTCGCGATTGCTCGAGGTGTGGTACCGTCGTGTGCATGCTGATACCCTGGTAAGATGGAGAATACCTGCTCATGCACGTGAGGCTCACATTCACTCCTGTGTGCTTGCAACCGATGCCAAGAGCGCGTGGTCGACAGAACATGATCTATAGTTTAGTACGTGGTATGACCGGGACTGGAGAGGTGCTGTCGATGCCAAGGGCGCGTGGTCGACAGAACATGATCTATAGTTTAGTACGTGGTATGACCGAGACTGGAGAGGTGCTGTCGATGCCAAGGGCGCGTGGTCGACGGAACATGATCTATAGTTCAGTACGTGGTATGACCGGGACTGGGGCGATGCTGTGAGCACCTTTTGATTTGATTGTCGCGCGCGGCTACAGTTCATCGGCGACCTAGCGCTGATGTCCGCGAGGGATGAGTACCGCCTTCTGCAGGACTTCATCCTCCTCTCGCCAGTGCCGGTCTACTCGGCGGTGAAGCTCGCTCACCGCCTCCAGCAGCTGTCCGAACAGGTGAGGGTGACGGACAGGCAACTACCCGAGCACCGGCGAACGGGGCCCGCTTGGCCTCCTCACCCGCGCTGCAGCACACTCCAGGCCGCACCGTGCACCAGGTACGCGTATGCCATATGCTGCATATGATGCTGCGGTCCTGACCGCAGCGCCATCTGGGCCGTACTGGCCACGACTGTGGCGCCCTCTGAGCCGTGCTAGCCACGACTGTAGCGTCAGCACGGCAGAGGTTCACGATGGCGTATCGTGAACCCCTCCACCCGGGTGGCGACGTCTGAGCGACGACGCCTGAGGCCCGGCCGCCCGCCAGCGGACCTGCAGTGTGTGTCTCCAGAGAGGGTGTTCGCGGCACCCCCTGACGAGCCGCGTCGGCAGGAGGGGCCGCACGCGTCGCAGCTGCGGACCGCCGGCAGGATCTGACGAGCTGTATCGGCAGGAGGGGCCGCACGCGCCAGAGCTGCGGGCCGCCGCGGCGCTGTGCCAGACGATGGCGGCCGAGCTGCTGGCGCTGGCGGCCAGCTCCAGCTCCACCTCCATCGGCCTCCTGCTGCAGGCTGTCGACCCGGACCAGACGGAGCTGCTCGACCTGCTGCTGCAGCTGCGGCAGAAGCAGGCAAGAAAGCTGCCCGCCATACTGACGAGAGACGCGCAGCTTAGTGCAGGCCCAGGCGACGTGCGACATGACCCACCGGGTGTCAATGTTAAAGTCACCATTCTTCACGCCCATTACGAGTGGCAATTGCAATGGATTGTCATAACAAATAATAAGCCGAGACTGACCTAATGCCACCCTCGGCAAACCATATGCCTGTGCCTTCTCAGAGCGCCTGGGAAGCGATGCCAGCACCTCCTCACTCACCGCGGGGGGGACGACGACCATGCACCACTTACAACATACTGGATTGGTCTCCTCACTCTTATCCAAGTGGCAGGATACAAGCCTTATTTGACATTTGGCTCTGATTCCGACGCGAAGAGATGTGTTTTGAATGAGTATAATCATCACGTTGTGAAGTTGCGCTTCGTCGACAGCCAGCTAAGATCTGAGGACGGCAAAAAGTCACATTCATATTCGTTTAAAACAAGGCAGCAAGACACTCGTATTCCATTAGTTGCAGGGGAGTAATTTTCACAAAAACGATTTAGGGTTTGAGGCGCTGAACGGTGAAAAAATGATCTGACCTACCCCCAAATATGCCAACGAACAGGTTTCTCGCAGATGTGCCCACTTCCTTCCCGAAGCTGGAGGGCTGGAGCCCAAATTTGGGGGGTGGGTAGTGTGGTGGGAGAGGGAGGTAAATCTCCCGCCAACTAAATAGAAAACTACATCCCAGATAGTCTGTGGCATATAGATATATATATATATATATATATATATATATGTAGATCATGCAGAGCATCAGATTATGAATGCTTTTCGAAAGATTCTATCCGAACCTCTTTGAGTGGACGGATTTCTGGGTTTAGGGTTGACGCTGAGCAGTGCCTGTTATGTGAGCTCTGACCCTTACACCCCATCGAGCTTTCAGGTCAGTGAGAATAAGTCAGTTAAAAATTTGGGGGGCAAGTTAACGTGCGTCA